CCCTCCTAACCATGTCCTGGCTCACCTCCAGAGCTGCCAAGTTTATGCCAGAAGCAGGAGGTAGATTTGTATGGGGCTGGAGGAAGATCTGGAGCTCTGTTAAATTTTCAAGCCCAGATGGGGCAACATGATTTGTGTGTTTATGTCAGTGTGCCATACATCACAACTATCTGTGTGCTGACGTCAGCTTTGATTGGACATTAATGTGCTGAACACTGCAAACTAGAAAATACATGAGAGATACAGATCTATGGCAACAATGCCACATAAGCAAATGTCTGTTTGGTGTGGCGATTCACTGTGTGAAATATTTCCCAAGATACACTGCATTAAGCCAGGGGAATATTTTGACACACTTTCAAAACAAAAACAAAATCAGCCTGGGCAAAGAGAGCACAGTTTAAGAAAGCAAAGCCATTCAGGGGAAGAGCTGAAAGCAATGTACTGAAGTATGTATCATCAGGCAGATAGTGAATTGTTATCCCTCCCTTTAATCTTTCCTGCATTAAAAGCCAATGGGAAAGATGCTATTATGATTTGCAGGACTGTCAGTGCTGAAGACACGTTGCTGATGGTTGAGCATCTTTCTATCCAGAGTTTTTCTGTAACCCATTGTTGTCAAAACCAACAAGCAAAAGCATCAAAGGACAGCAAAACATTAATAGGCAGCAAATGTTTTTTTCAGTTTTTTTCTTTTTCTTTTCTTTTTTTTTTTTTTTTTAGATCAAGAGTTTAGGTCAGTTTCCAGGAATCTTCAGTTTTTATTTATTTATATAACAGGGTTTGTTTCTTGCTGATACAAATAACATTCAGCAGCTTGCTGAAGAACTGGCAAAATATGATAATTTCTGGTCTGTGGATTTCTAAAAGTCACTGACTCCTTCAGATTTATATTTATACCATCTTTATGGGATTGCCCCTGTAGAATAATGTGACCAAAAGTTTCCATTAAAATACAGTGTATTGTCTCTCTTTTCCTAGAAGAGGAAATAATTTCCGAGTCAGCTTTAATATTTCAGGGCTGGATAAAATAGCAAAGTCTGGGGAGTGATGTGTAGCCAATGTTCTTTTCCCTCAGATCACTTATGTTATTTCTCACAAAGGAAATTCTGCTGTTTAACACTATTTTGTCATTATCCATCCCTAGACTTTGGAAGTAAAATGGAATTTCCCTGATTCCACGGGGATGGATGATTTTGGCCTGTGCACAAGTAGCAGCTTTGAAAAGAGACCACTCCCCAGGATTTGATGCCATCTGGCCCATAAGGTGGGGAAGGGAGGGGGTGTAAAGGTACCATGGGATCAGTGGATTTAGGCCTCATAACCTGAGCAGATTGGGCTGTGTAGGACAGGCCACAACTTTGTGTAGCAGTCAGGAAACAGAATTCAGTTTATTCTCTGATGGGAGTTGGACATTTTCCCCTTTCCTCTGTGCTTTGTGAGGTTCTCTGTGGCTAGAAAATACACAGTTCTTGAAATGTGAGTTCAGGAAAGCAGTTTTGGAGTATTGATCAGCATTAGAATAAACCTGTGTGTCAGTACAATGCAGAGACTGTTCTAACAGATCTGGGGATGTTTCCCTCTCTCTGCTCCTAATTACTTGATAGTTTGTTGTTATCAAGTAGTTTATCAGTGTTTGAACTGACCTTTCAGAATAAGCATCAGTCATGTAGTTTATGAAATGCAAAATGTAGAAAATACTTTAAAATTAATAGAAAAATACAAAACTATAACTTGGAGCTAACAGAGCTAATTCCTCATACTTGGAATGGGTATTTTCAGGTGATTGGCCTTGATACCTCAAAGGTATGATGAGTATAGCACCTATGAGCACCAAGAAAAAAAGTATTCCAACTGTCTAGGCAGCTTTAAGAGAGCTACTTCTTATCTCAGGGAAATATTTTGCTTTTTAGCACAGATTTGTTTCTTTTCTTTTTTTTCCTCTTTAAATACTGACATCATTGAAGCATTTAAAACATTTTTTCCTGGGTTTCCTCTGAAGATCTCTGTTGTGACCTTTGAACATGCTCTCTGCTATATAAAATTAAGTAAAAAAACTGTGCAGAAAACAGCTTATTTAAGGCACATGACAGTGCAGAAGGCACCACCAATATATTGAGAAATGGTAATGCTACTTAAGGCTTTAGATTCATATGGAGTGTAGAGAGAGGAACTTGGAGAAGTTCTGAAGAAATTTCTTGAGTTTTCCATGTTGTTCAACAGATGACCAAAATGAGTAATTGTGTGGGTTGTTCTTGCTTGGAATTTTAGAGATGATATGCCTAAATGGATTAAAAAACAAGATTTTCAGAACACAGAAAAAACCTGGCATCTGACTCAGAGTGGAAGTCAAGGAGAGATAAGCTTAACACATTGCGTGTAAACATCGCTGATGTGAGCAAATGCTTATGTTAGGAAGATGAAAATATTAATTTAATGCTAAGGTAGCCCTTTTATGGTTTCTCCTTGTCAAATGTGTGGGTTTTTTTACACAGAAATTTCAATTCTGTTTTTTTTTTTAAAGCAAAAATCCCTTTAACATAATTTCTAAGTATTGATGACCTATTTTTCCCCCACAGTTTGTCATTGAGAAGCCCAAGCCTTACTCCATGAACATTAATTACCTTTTTCATCACATAGGATGTGTATTTTGTTTCCATGTCTTACAGAATAAAGCAATTATGGAACGTGTAACAAACTTGTCAGATATGGTAGTTGGTCTTGAATCATTTATTGGCTCTGAGAGAGAAACCAATCCATTGTACAAGGATTACCACGGTAAGTTCCATCTTTAGCAACGCAAAAAAACTATACCCTGAGCGTTTCTAGGGCACTTAGCACTTCTTCCAATTGAGGATCTGCTGGAAAGTAGCATTTTGATTTCATTTTAGAATATACCTCTTAAATGTTCTTACTTTCCCTAATTTGAGTTAGGAAAATTTTCAGCCAAGTGCATTAAGGCTGCAAAGGAAACATGGCAACTCCTTGCATGTTGTCAGGCCGTATTACTGCGGCATGGCTCAATCAGATGCACATCTCAACAGGCAGGCTCTGGGGAATTCACATGCAGGGGAGGCTTGGCAATCATCTGACCAGCCAGCTCAACTTGTCATGAAATCAATACTTTTGATCTGCCAAATTTTCAGCCAAGTGCATTAAGGCTGCAAAGGAAACATGGCAACTCCTTGCATGTTGTCAGGCCGTATTACTGCGGCATGGCTCAATCAGATGCACATCTCAACAGGCAGGCTCTGGGGAATTCACATGCAGGGGAGGCTTGGCAATCATCTGACCAGCCAGCTCAACTTGTCATGAAATCAATACTTTTGATCTGCCAAGTTTTAAATAGAGAACACGGCAAAAAAAAAACCCCCATACATTATAGTAAGGCGAATAAACTGCGAAATTATCTGCTGGATAAAGTTTATCAAAAAATAATGTTCTGGGTTGGGTTTTTTTCAGCTAGAAGTTACAGCACTTATGCATTGAAAGAAATGAATGTGTGTGGCATGTAAAATATGAAACTCTGGTCCCGAGTCGTGTAGCCTTTCAAGTGTTTTCTCTCCAAAATCTTGCATTTTGTTTCCTGAAGATTTTTGTTAGCTGTTGCAGCAGAACGATTTAATTTTTCAAAGATTACATTCCAAGTTATGCTTAGCCAAAGCAGTGAATAACAGTTTTAACTAATCTGGAGCAGTGCATAAATTACAGCTATTATTATTGTGATACTCCTGTAGTTCCATGGAAACCTTTGGTTGAAAGTAAACTGTAAACACGGGAGAACGTGGCTGTGTTTGCCAGAGCAGGATATAGGGAATGTATGGAAAAGGAAGCAGAGGTGGTGTTGAGACACCACTGTGTGTATGCAGGCTGTAATTAATAAATCAGAGCAAAATCTCTCTGACTGTGAAAGTAGTGCACATTTCATTAGCTGCAAAATTTAAAAAAAAAAAAAAGGTGAATGAAAAACAGTGAACAAAAGCTGGAATAATTTGCCTAATTATTTTTCCAACTGTATAATTGTGATGTGGCATTTGTTTATGCTAACATAATTCTGTCAATTTGATACTCCTCTTCTCAGGACTGAGGAGATCCTTTAAGACAACGTGTGTTTTAGCAGTTATTTCCTGGTTTCCTATAAAACTGGATGCTCAGTCATCTTTGGTGCTGTTTAATACAAATCCTGTGCCAATGTGCTAGAGCTTCTGAGGTTTAGGCAACCTTAATTTGACAGTCTGGGGAAAAAAAAGGTATTTCTAATGATTTTAGCTTTGTGGATTCTTTTTGCATAAAGATCTATATTAAGATGATTTATTTATTGCAGATGGTGAAATATTTTGAAATTACTTAGGAGAAGTTTGGTTAAATTCTTGTATTATTTAATGAATCCTGCATTAATAATTTTATTAAGCTGCCTGCAAATTTAGAGGTTTGAAAAGCCACTAAAATAGCCCAAAAAATTATGTAGATGATCCTTAAATAAAATTTTTAGGATACTGTGTACAGCCTTGTGTATTACCTGCTGTTCCTAGAGATAATAATTAGTTTTTGTACTCAAAAGCCTAACAAATAATTCTTCTGAGTCACTGGGCTGGAGGCAGGGACAGAAGGTTTCAAACTATAAAAATTCTTTCCTAATACTATTGAGAATTTTTACAATCAGTGCCCAGAAAACTTAGGCTTTTTTAAGTATTACAATTTTAGGAAACTTCCATTGGGGGGGGGGGAAAAAAACCTGAAAAAATAGTTGCCTTCTTTTAAATAAGGGGTTTGCTCTTTGGGGCTTTGCTCAGAGCTGCCGTTTTCGAGTGAGATACCTCTCCTAATCGTTGAGGATTTCCATTTCCACGCTGGCTTTATGACTAGCAAATATAGGCCAGTAATTGAGAAGCCCTGTAGAATTTTCCTGGTTTTCAGATGTGGAAAATCACCCTTAGGTTGTTCAGAAACTATATTAGGCTGCACAAAAACCATCCAGCGTCCTTGTCAGAAAAAATCAGCTTGACTTGCAGCTGACAGAATGCAGAGCTTGCAGTGCACCTAGTACTCTTCAAAACATCTGACCAGCTACACAATCCTCCTGCAAGGAAGAAAACCTATTTCTCCTAGGATGGCAGAAGGGTTAAAATTGATCCAAAAACATGACGGAAAATCGGGATTTTCCAAAAACTTTTTTTTTTTTTCCGAGTGGTTTCCAGGGCACAAAAGGAGGTAGTTCTCATTAGGGCTGCAGTGGTTATCAGTAACCCATAAGCCTTGTTTTGCTGGCTGCTTACTGGTGCATTTAATAAAATAAAGATCACTCAGTGGTGCCGTGGGCAGCGTGCAAGGTGATAGCCATATTTGCTTACTGTAAATACAAGAGAAAATCACACACAAACCGGCTGTAGTTTTGACAAGTATTAAGATCGCTCTTTACATCTGTACTTCTGTACCCAAGTGCAATTAGTTTTCCTCGCACAAGGATTTCTGTTTATCTTATTCTGCTTGATTACTTGAGTATAATCGCACCGTTTGCTTCATTGCTCCTGGTAGTAAGCTCCAGTGGAAAAAGGGGAGGATGAGTGTGTGTAAATATACAGAATTCTGCTGTAAGACTCTAATTTATGCGTCCGGATGACAGCGTTTTCTTAATTTTTTTTTTTTCTCCCCCTTCCTTTACTCTTTCTTTCCACAAGGTTTGGTTCATGTACATCAGATTGCTCGGCTTAATAGCTTGATCTGTGATGTGTCAGACACGAAGGACCTTGCTTTTAGATTAAAAAGGAAGCTGTTCACTATCGAGGTAAGACAAACGTTGTTTCGCTGTTTAGAACCCAAAAGGTGGAGCTAATCCCATCTCTTCTGTTTCAGTTTGCGAAGGGCATAAAATATGCATCAGATATTGTAAATTCATTTCGTTCTGGTTTTGCTGTTCTGAATGGTTTTCGAAAATGCTGTAATATGCCTCCTAATTAGAAATGTCTCATTTGCTGCACTGAATCGGGCTGTTATAAATAGTTTATTTTGGTTGAAAATGTACATAGAAAGTAGGCCACAACCTTCAATAACAAAGCGTGACATGTTTCTAAGGATGTCAGGAGCATATTTAATTAAATGTTAATGACTTGCTCTTACTTGTGTTAGTGGGTGGGAAAGTAGCTACATGTTATTACCCCAGTAGAGGGATTTTAATGTATAATGTTGCCTAAAATTGTGTGTGGTATGAGGGATAAGTGTCCTTATCAGTATTCAGAAACCATTTTCTTTGCATTACTGAAATAACCTTTCGCTCTTTTATGTCATTTTAAACACAGTATCATTTACACTAATGTCCTTAAGTAAATTTCCTACTAAATTTAAACTTTTTTCCTGTGACCTTTATGCAGACAGTCCTGATAGAAGGCAGTAATACAAAAGATGTATTTCATTTTAATCTTGCTAAAGAGCAAATGAACATAGCACTATTAAGCAATTAGAGCTGGTGTATTTATTAACCAAGTGATGCTCAGAGATGGGAGATGGCTTTGGAGGTGATGTGATAGCCATCGGTACAGTCTGGGCAATTTTTTTAGGGTTTTTTTTTTCCTTTTGAACAAAGACATAAAACAGCCAAGCATCCCTGACAAACCATTTTGTTTAATCTCTTTTCAAATGAAAAGCTCTTAAGCAGGCCACTTGTCTTAACTGCTTGAAACCATAAAAAGAGAGAATTGCCACCAATAAATTAGCATATTTTTTACTCCATCACCAAATGCTGGTCAATGTGGCTTGGCACTGCTTTGGTGTTTGGGACTTCACCCTTAAGTGACCACTTTGGCCCTTATTTGACCCTCTGCCCTTTTTAGCTGGCCACTTGATAAGGTAACTTAAGGGTTCTCTCTCTTCACTGCCCCCTCCCCTTCACAATTGCAAGTAGCCCTAACCTATAAATCATTGAAAGGGCCCTATCAAGTGACAAATTAAGGTGCCCTCCTCCTAATTAATGGTCATCAATGTCTTTAATTATCTAATCCTATTGAGAGTAGTTAATAGTTAATCAGACAGCCAGTTCTTCATGCAGGTCATCTCTGCATGAGTGCTAGAAGTTTCTCAACTAGAGGTATCCTCTTCAGAAGCCACTTAAAGGCAAATACATGAAGGAGGGCTTCTTTTTTCCCCCCAAGACAATTCCTTTATACTGTTTGTCACTTTGCAGAGAATGTGGTTAGTGAAACCAGGCATTGGGAGGTATTAAAGCATTTTAGCAGCTGCTTTGGAGCAGTACAGTAGAAACAAACCCCTCTGTAGTCTGTGTTTGGTTTTAAAATGCAAGTGTTCCTAGTGTTTTCCCAAGTGCAGAGAAGCATGCATCCCTCTACTTCACAGCATAGCAAATTCTCATTTATTATAGCTGGGAATTAGAATATTTGGAGGGTTTTTTCGTCACTGCGAATCCTGACTCGGAATACAATGTTTTCTATCAGACATATTGGAGATTCTAACTTGTAACGTAATTTGGAAGGCAAAAAACCCTTAGCAGGAGTCTCTGTAGAAAGAGTTGAGCTAGCCATGTGGCAGAAGCCTTGGAAACAGGAGTGTAGTGGAACTCTTGAAACAACCTGTTGCTCTAGACATGCGTAGATGACCCACTCGTATAATTCTCCCTTCGTCGCTCAGCTGCTGCCCCTTTTGAAAAACTTCAGGTTTTGTTAGAGAGATGCTTTCTGTCAGCTGCACTGACACAAACTAGCCCTTTTTGAACATGGTAGATCACTGTCCTACCGTGATCTTCCTGTACATGTTTCACTAATCTATAATACATATGTTTTCCTTCCTCATACTATTAGGGAAAGCAGATTACAGCTAGGCTAGAGCCATAAGGTCAATAAGGAAATGGGAGCAAGGGAAAACTGAATGAAGAAGTGATGTGAATACAGTTCTAAAATGGGTTTCTACAGTTAGAATGTGATGCATCAGCAGTTTGGGGTCTGGGGGTAAGAACATAAAGCAGCACATTGCAGGCTGCATAATGTTTTATGCAAAGTGCAGCTAAGTTTATGACTTTTTTAGTATGTGGTTCACATGTGAAGTGAAAAGGTATTTTGAGTACCCTACAGTTTTTGGAAAGCTTCTGCTTTAATTATATACACAATTTCAGGTAAAAAAAAATATTGGCCTCTACTCGAAATGCCACTTTAAAATCAAGTTTTGTAAGAAAAATTAGAAATAGGCAAAATTTCCTCAAGAAGAATTTTCATCACTAGCCCATTCCTTTTTTGCAGTTCGAAATAAGAGCATGGGACATGGATTTTCTCATCTCTGGTTTGCTCACCAGTTAAATAACTCTTTACAGTTTGGCCCTCATAGGTGAAAAACCTAGTGTCAAATCCATTCTGTTAGATTGCAGATTGTGGGAGGGACTCCATCCCTTTACAGTCTGCAGTCATTTAACTGCTTCAGTTTTTCCTGTATCATCTTCATCAAAATAAGATTGACAGAAATGTTTTCCAAAGACTTTTTTTTAAAAATTCAGGATGAAAATGTTTTTTAATGAGCATTTATGAGTGTTTGTTTTCCATTTGTAGATTATGAAGCCAAACTTTCCAGGGAAACTTGCATGTTTACCCTGAAAGGTGCAGGAGCTATATGAAGCTTTCTCAAATCCTGGCACATTAGTTACTAGCAATATACCATTATATGCAGTATTATCAGAGATCTATCTTATGTGCCTACCACTTTAAAGGACACAATTTTGAAGTTAGCCTGTCTAATCCTATTTCTTCCCACTTTGGAATCTTAATTAGAAGGAGATAAAAACCATCATTTGACTAAATTATTGTCTTGAATCTGTAGCAAAAGGTATAATCCGCAATTGGGCCAATTAGTGTACCCCATAGTTAGCTATGCTGAGGCAGGAAACTTGATTAGATCTGACACCAGCCTAGTTCCCACTGTTGTTTTGCCAGGTATGATGGTCAGACTTCAAAGGGCTTGAGGCATCAGCAGGGCAAGGTTTGGAGGCCAGCTTAGGTCCGGTCGTTAATCTCTCTGCTAAAACCACAGCAGCCCTCGCACAAAACAAGCTTACACGACACAATCATGCGGTATTAAAGTTTGGGTTGAGTCATGCCAATTTGCCTTTGATTTTCTGATGATTGACTAAAAGATGGCTACATGACTAGACACATACTGAAAGTTTACTGATTAGGTAAGTTCCCCAAATATTTGAAATATTTTTTGATTTCTCAGTTAAATGATATGACAACCCTGTTCATCTTAGCGAGACTTTGCATCGGAATTGTTCTCCAAGTGCTTTTGGCTCGCTTTGTAGCTCTGAATGTAACTTTTATCAACACTGGATAAATTTTGTAGGAACGTTATGTTCATAGTTTTAGTTGATAGAACTTTGTCTTTGTTGTTCCGAAGCCTCCTGTGTCAAAACTAAAGGAATCTGTGCCCGAGTTTGTTTTTATCACTCCTCCCAATTTCTAAGGAAACATTGTTTATCTTTTTTATTAGGGAACATGTAAAATGGTTTACGAAAAGGGCATTTTCCCTTAATTATTTTCCACCTCACCATCGAGTAAAGAGCTGTTCCACGGCTGAGATTACATAAGTGTTCCTTTCTTTTGCAGTCTGATTTGTTCAAATATTGCAGTAACAGTGACATGTTTCCATTCTGAGAAAAGCCTAAGGCTGCTTTAGTATTATTCCAAATGATTGAAATTGCCATCTTGCTGACTTTCCCTTGGGCAGCTTAAGGCCTGTTTACTTTTGTATTTGTTTCACATGTTCCCTCTGAGTTTGGCTGGCAGGACATCATTACCTGGTTTGACAAGACAGTTGGAGAAGATTCATATTTGATTAGCTCCCTTTGTTATTGTCTGGAGAACACAAACCTCTGAAATTATCTATTTAAGGTTAAAACCTCTTGATAAATCCAGCTAAATGCTTACAAATGGGAAAGGTTTTGAGGCTGGTTTTTGGCTTAATTTTTAAGTCTTCAGGTAACAGAATTGCCACACAGCAAAAATAAATCAGTTTCAAGAGCTAAATGTATGAGTTCAGGAGTTTCTTCTCTGAGAGGTGTTTCCTAAGAGGAGGAGAAGAAAGAATTAGAGGAGTGTCCAGCAGGAAAGTGGCTGGTTTGTCAGTGCCAGGCAGATACAGCATGGTGCTATGGAGCACTCTACAGTGCATTTTTTTCCAGTGGCAATTGCCAGAGTGAAAGGTTATGTCTTTGGAAGGAAACATAATCACAAAAACCCTGCAATTGAATCTATATAGAATTAAAGGTAAACATGTAATGCCAAAGGCATTAAAATAATATCCTGTCTTCAATCTAGCAGTAAAAGATTATGAGAAAATTAATGATTGCCAAAATCTGCAACTCCAGATCTTCATGTCTGTTACATTGGTATTTGGAAGGAGACTTAAAACTCTTTCAGACCATAATTTTGGCAATTAAACCCAGGAAATATGTCTTAGATAACATACATGCCACACTGTGGTAAACTTCTTACTTGTGAAGGGGAAATGCAATTAGCCACTGCTTTAGATGATTTACCCAAAGAGGTGGGTAAGACCAAGTCAGAACTGATGTCTGCAGTGCTTCATTCAGTGTGGTATTTTCATTTTCAATTTGGTCCTAAGTGACTCAGGAGATGGTGGTGTCACTGAGTGCCAGAACTGTGTTCCTGGAAACATTTTGTAGGTAATAATTCATTAAACACATCAAGAAAAGGTATAGGCATAATGATTTTTGCTATTTCTTCTGAAGGAACAAGTCAACCCTGTCACCAGGTACATATGGGATCAGTATAT